ATTCTCCACCAAAAATTTCTCACTATGTTCAAAACAAAACTAAGTTTTCTACAAAAGCATCCACTCAATCCTCATCTCTTTTGGTCACAGGACAAGAAGTGAAAAGGAGATGGGAGAAGAAAGAGGAGTGGAGGCAGAAGCGAAAAGAAATTGCAGAAGAAAAGAGGAAAGTTTTTCAAGAAAAGAAGCCCAGCTCTAGTTATAGCTCTCTCTTTTATTCTAAAAGTAAATGTAGCTCTGGCTCATACAAGCAATCTAATATTCGTTCATTCTTGAGTCCCAAGCTGAATATGACTAAGTCAACTTTTGAACCTTATTCTTCTGATAATTCTAAGCATGCTTATGGTTATTTTGGTTCTGATTCTTCTAACTGTGAATGAGATGTGAATGATGTGAACGTGAGAAGAGAGAGAGAGAGCGCAAACAAAAAGGACAATATAAGAATAGAACATTTGAGGGAGTTTATTATTTACCAAATCTGAAATATCCCCTCAAAGTTCAGCCTCAGAAACATCTGAATAGACTCTCTAAAGAAGAAATTTTTAAACCTTATATCACTAATCAACCATTCACTCACAAAGATCATGTCTATTCTCCTCCATCTGTCAAACAAAAGTGGATTCTGAAAACTGATCTCACAAAAGCACAATCATTATGTGAAAAAGTTGTTGACCTCGGATCACAGCTTAAAGAAAAATTCAAAAAGATGCTTTTTGTTAATAAGGAAGGACCCATCCTGAGGTGGGTACCTAAAACTCTCTGATTGTTTTGCAGGTCGGTCATGTGTGGCATTTAGATTCAGGCTGCTGAACCCACATGATCGGAATAAAACACCTTTTGAGCAACTACACGAACTGTTATGAAGGCAAGGTCAGATTTTGAAACGACGCCTCATCTCATATTCTTGGTTATGGAGAAGTCATCTACGCAAGTGTCACAATAATGGCTGTCACATATGTCAAAGGGCTCAAACACAATCTCCTTAGCATTGGACGTTTTGTGACAGCGGGATGGAAGTGAAGTTCAAAGCCAAACAATGTTGCGCGATGGACAGCTTTGGGAATACATTATTAACGTGTAACAGGACATCTAACGTGTACACGATTGATCTGAAAGATGTGCAATCAACAACTTCCATATGTCTGCTGTCCAAAGCTTCCACTGAACAAAACAGCCTGTGGCATAGGCGTTTGTCCCACATGAACTTCAAGAACTTATCCATTCTTTCCTCCAATAAACTTGTGAAAGGGCTTCATCTGCTAAAGTCTTCCGCTGACAATCATTGTAGTGCCTGCAAAATGGGCAAAATGACAAGAAGATCTCACAAGTCAAAACCAGTTCCATCCTCCACGCATCCACTGCAGCTGATTCACATGGATCTGTGTGGACCTATGAGAGTTCAAAGCATCAATGGTTTCAAGTACACTATTGTTATCGTTGATGATTTCTCTAGGTACACATGGACAAAATTCTTGAGAACAAAGGATGAAGTTGCAAACACCATTATGACCTTCATCAGAACATTACAGAACTTGCTACAGAAGAGTGTGAGAATAACCCAAACAAATAATGGTATTGAGTTCAAGAATCAAGTCCTCACTGATTTCTATGAATCTCAAGGTATCACACAACAATTCTCAGTAGCCAAGACTCCATAACAGAATGGGGTCGTTGAAAGAAGAAATAGAACTCTAGTCAAAGCCGCACACACCATGCTGATACAATCTAAGCTTCCTCACTTCATGTGTGCGGAAGCTATCAATACTGTGTGTTTCACACAGAACAGAACAACCATCCACAAGCGATTCGATAAGACTCCATATGAGATACTTTTCAACAGGACCCCATATATTTCTTTCTTCAAAGTGTATGGCTGCAAGTCCTTTGAGCTGAATGGTAGAAGTGAAAGAAGCAAACTCGATCCTAAGGCCAAGGAAGGCGTGTTTATTGGCTATTCAACTCAGTCAAAAGCATACAGAGTTTATATGAAGGATAACATTATTAGCTGGGCCGAGGATAACACTTTTTACGTTATTTTCTATTCTTTGGAACCTTTGGAAACTGAGACACACCACTCTTTATGAAGAAGACAATACCCCTAATTACTCTGAGGCCATCTACAACATCATAAGGGACATGAATTCCCTCTATGATACCAAGAGTCCTAACAAGATCTTAAGAAATAGGCCCAAAGTGGTCTCCCGAAACCCTCCCTTGGCCAGTAATAGGACCCTCAACATTGCCCACATCTCACACACCTTTGGCTTCTTAACCTGTGACCATAAGGGTGAAATGATTTCCCATTATTCTCATAGGTTGTTTAATAACTCCAGCGTTAAGGCTTTTATTGAAGTAATTTATCACTACCTTCATGTTTGTAGGGAGAGGGGAATCACCTTCACCAACATTCAAATTTCGAACCTTCAAGTTTTTCAAGCAATCAACCTCCATTACATCATATCAATCGTTGGGATATAATCTTCACAATCTCTTTGATCCGTAGGATTTAGCATCAAAACCAAATTATGCTTAGCATTGTTACTTGAAATAATGACAAGAAAAATACCTATGACTTCCTAATGGAAAAAAATAGGACCTATTATCAATATGGACAATAAAGAGACTCAATATGAACGAGTGACTAAATTACCTTGTGCTGCTTCGCTTCTTTCCGCATCTGCTTAGATCTTATTGCGTTGTTTGCTCCTTTGTCCTTGTCTCTCCATCTACTACACCTAGGGAGCCGTACAAGGTACAACAAATTCTCCGCCCAGGTGCACAACATCACCTCCGCCTCCAACCTCTGCCTCCTCAAAAAATCCTTCTCCCTTGAATTTATGCATAACGGCGGCGGCCGTTCGATCTCTGTCAACCGTCAACATAGGCCCTGTCGAGCCCTTCGTCCCAGCCTCACTTTCTTTTTCTTTTTCTGTTCGTGTGCCGCTTCATTGCTCCAGGCCAGAGTTTCACGTCAATATGTGGTTTCAGATCGCGGTGGTGCGGTGGATTGGGCAACGATACGATTGAATTGGGCGGCGGTGCGATTGGTTTGGGCGTCGACTATGGCTGTGGAGTTGGGTGCGACGATTGGGGATGCTGGAGAGAGGGCTAGGGAGGGGGCTGATCCGCTACAAGGGGTTGGAAAGGCGGCAGTCACCGTCGGGGCGACGGCGACCAGAAGGCTGGACCACTAGAGAGGGGGGATGAGGCTATGGAAGCAGGGAGCAGGGGTTTAGGGAGGAGTGTTGGGGGCTGGGGAGGGTAGGTTGTGACCTCGGGGAGAGTCACTATCGGGCGGCAACCTTCATGGTGACTGGCGGTGGTGGCTAGCGATGGTGGCCTGGGGTGGTGGTTATCCGTGGTCACTATTGGATTGGGTAACTATAAATGGTCAGTCCAGGTAACTATAACTGGTCGGTCCAGGTAACTGTAACAGGTCGATCTGAGTAACTATTATTGGTAGGTTTGAGTAATTGTAACTGATCGGGTAAATGTAATTGATTTGGTCGATTAATTGTAACCAGTCGGGTTAGATAATTGTAACTGACCGGGTCATATAATTGTAATTGGTCAGGCAGGTAACTGTAATAGGTCGAGCGAGTAACTGGTTTGGTACGGTAAATGTAACTAGTAAGGTCAGATAACTGTAATTTGTAACGAGATAACTGTAAACGCTATAATTAAAGTCAACATCTCTTTTATTAGTCATTGCTAGCATATTGAGAAGTGGGAAATGGATTGGAGCCGTAGGTATATATGATATTTTCATCTCATTTTTTTTAAATGATGCTAGCATTTTTGTTTGGGACTAATCTGATCTTAGGATGGGTTGGCACTGGGTTTAAATTAAAAAAGAAAAAAGAAAATAAAAACGTTTAAATAAGGAAAATGGACAAAATTATTATACTCCCTTCGTATTTGGTAAGATGAGAGAGAATAGTGGTCCGTACAAAATAACGTGTTCTAATATGTAGTAATTATTAGGCATGCACGAGCTTTTAATGAAGTTTAAGATTTGCAAATGAATGCAGAAGGTGTGGTTGATCATATCACCGCGCGTCCAAATTGTAAGCATGGATATTTTGCTATTATATATATTTTCACGTACATTATTATATTGCCACGTTATCTGCATGCGCGCATATAGGAGTTAAATTAGGCCAGGCAACAGCCTAGCCTTGAGCATACTATTGAAATACTTCCCAATAAATTATGAACTTATGGCACCCCAAATTTTAATACAGAATATATTTCTCACTCTTCTAATTTAGCTACACACATATCTACCTACGCACATACTTTCAAATTCAATAGAGTGAAAATATTGTTAAAAAGAGTAAAACATGCATGTTTATATATGAGTAATAATTAAATTGGAGTGATAAAACATATTTATCCATATTTGATTAAAACATTTAGAGTTTTTTTCAAAACTATTACTAATATGAAACTTATTTACAAAATACTATATCACTTGATAGTTACTATAGGATAATCTCATAGTTACTTGAGTGTAAAAAAAGAAGATAAGTTACTATGATTAAGTTACTACTATAGTCCACCTTAAAAAAATTGGGTCCAATTATGGCTTTCGTTCTATATATTGTATTGGAAGATGTATGCGAGGTTTTAGTTGAGTCCGAAATATTAATAGAATTCGGCATTTGCTAGCTAGCTCCACCGTACCGCTAGGTGATTTGGTTCAAAAAAACTAACAAACATATATGAGTAGTAATTAAATTGGAGAGGAAGAATAGCATGAAGACACATATATACCATATATATACATACATCCATTCAAATAACATTGGTCTAGGATTAAAAACTTTTCTAATCATTTTTTGTTATCACTTTTTTAGTCATATATATATATATATATACTCCGGCCTGATAATGAATTAATTTCCCGAAATTAAAGATAGATACGGGCACTCGATCGATCTATCGTATAAGACAAATAAAAATTTATGGTGATGCTTCTCATCAGCGCAGCTTATAATTGGGAATTAAGGCACTAGCTAGCTAGCGCAGCTACATATATACTTGAATTCGTATATAATACCTGGTGCTGCAAAGCAAGAATGGTGGAGACGCAACCGTAAACGGGGTCGGACAGCCTGGCCTGGGCCTCGTAAGATATGGTGACAACGGCGTCGTGGCGGCGGTTGGGCGGGATGTGAAGGAGGAGCTTAGAGACGTTGCTGGCGCCGAAGACCTTGTGAACGGCGGCAAAGCGGGCAGCGCCCTGATCGGAGGCAAAGTGCGGGGCGAATATGCATCCGCTCACGCACTTCCTCCTCAGGAACTTGCAGGCGCCGCAGGGGGCCGGGGCTTGTATCGCCTCCGCTGCTGCCCTCCGCTTCCCCGCACTCTTCCGCCTCTCGCACCTGCTGCCATCTTCATCATCCATGCCGATCGACCAATCCGATATATCCCGCCCCACCTACCAACCTAGCTATCTATCTATCTTCAGTAATATTTAAAATACGTACGTACGCATTCTCACACACCTTGCCGACGATATATATATAATCGACCGGCCATGCCGGTACGTGCGCACGCACTGAACCCACCTAAATTAACTGCGTACCTAGCTAGCATTCGCTTTTTAATTGTGTGTGTGGCGGCCTAAACAACTAAAAAAACTACTCCTTACAAAGGAAACATCTCCATAAATATATATATATATATATATGGAGCGCTTCCAATGAGAACACCCTTTATTGTGAGAAGTGAGAACAAATCTTAACCATACATCTTAGTAAATTAAGGGACACAAAAGGATGAGATGCACGGATGTATGATGGGAGTGCAAACATTAAATAAATACTCTTACATTCTCTAATCCATACGTAGGTTGATTGAAGGGCAGTAGAGTAATTTTGAAAATTCCTTAAATGTGATAACGTTGGAGGTTTATCACAAACAAAAAAAATAGGAAGATATAAAAGGTCAAATTAAATAAAATGTTTTAGTTTAAAAATTGATTTAACTTTTTGAATTATAATCTGATTTTAACAAAAATTATATCAAATTATGTAATTTTTTATTATCTTTCATATGACATCAATATGTCATATGTTTTTTTAAATACGTATAATCTGTATATAATTAATCACAACAAACATCTTCTGCTACCGCATGCACAAGAATATGTATATGTATGACACACAACCACTACTATCTAATGAAAAAAAACTAGAATTTAACACACAATACGTATAATAAGAAACACATTTACCAATGTGAGATACACCTTTTATGGCTATCGCCTGATTTTAAAAAAATTATATCAAATTAAATGATTTTTTCATGATCTTTCATATGACACAAATATGACACATATAAGTTTGTTTTAAAAAGATAAGTATAATATGTGTACAATAAATCACAACAAATATCTTCAGGTACCGCATTCACAAGAATATGTATCTCACACACCACCATCAATATATAATGCACATGAACGATTATCTAACACACAACATGTATAAGAAAAACTAAAATGAGTATCTTAAGCACAAAATCCAATATCTAATGCACAAAGAACAGTATACGGCACACAACAATTAAAAATTAATTAATATCTAACGCATAAGAATTTCACACAACTTAAACTAATATGTAACACACAAGAATCTATATCTAATGAACAATACGAATACAAACTCAAGAACCAATACCTAACATATATATATACTTGTAATATATACATACATAATCATAGTAAGTATTTACCACACAAGAATCATTATTTAACAAACAACAACAAATATTTAAAACACATGGACCGACCATCTTACTATTAACTAGGATATAACACACTACAATTGATATTTGATGCAAAATAAATGAATAGAAAATAAATTACAATTTAGTGAAGAAGAATGTGACCGAAGGACAACTTGAATAAAAAGGAATGATATTTTTTAAAAAGCATGTAAAAAGTCCTCTAAAAGGAAAAGTTAATTCCGTGAGTATGTTATTTAATTTTAAAAAATGCAAAACATTCTCCAATGATATTTGATATTATATGGAATTTAAAGCTTTTCAATAACTGAAAAGTCAATTCTGGGTGAGTGCATTAGTTGGTTTTAGTCGGTTACCATATCTGCTTAGGAATAAAATACGTAAATAGCCTTCACCTAATTTAAGTTGAGCGCAGATCGGTCCTCTAAATAAATGGTTGTGATGTGTTCTCACGTTCTCACGTTAAGACTCGTTCTCATTTGAACCAATATATATATATGTTTTGGTTCAAATAAGAACATGATCTTAGGAGAGAAATGAGAACGAATCTGGACCGTTAGATTTGCTTTAATTGAAATTCAATGTGCATTAGATGAAACTGTAATGTGCATTAGGTGAAATTGAAATGTGCACCACAAAGCGTATGATACAATGTCACTAAATGAAGTTGAATTGTGCATCAGGTGAAATTGAAATGTGCACTAGGTGAAACTGAAATGTGCAAAATAAAAGGTATGATGCGATGTTATTTTTGTACATTTTATTCCGCACATTTCAGTTTCACCAAATGCATAATTGAGTTTAAATTTTTATTCTTCACATTTCAGTATCATGTAATACACTTTTGAGTTTCATCAAATGCACATTTCCGTTCCACATAATACAATCCAACGGTCCAGATTCGTTCTTATTTCTCTTCTGGGAGTCCGTTCTTACCGGAACCGCTCCCTATCCACACAAAAATTCGGCTAAAAACTCACTCCGGAAGGTCGTCAAATGATTTTTTGAAGTTAACTGCGCAAAAAAATACATATAAAACGCAGTTAACTTCCAAAAATCATTTGACGACCTTCCAGATTGAGTTTTTAGTTGATTGTTTTTGTGGATAAACTAGACTTGATGAAGAACATGCCATAAACATTTTATCAAAAGAAGCCACCGGGAAAGGCCCCAAAAGCCGTCGGCCGGACAGCGGTTCTGGTCCGGAATTCCGGACCTGAACATTTGTCTATATATATATATATATATATATATATATATATATATATATAATGTCTATATACATTTGTCTATATATATATATAGGGTGCGGTTCCAATGAGAACATTGCTTAACGTGAGAACGTGAGAACACTCACGATTAACCCAATGTGATACACAATAGAGCCCATCTGGTGCACAATTTGACTTTTCTCCAAATAAGCCAATATAAATAATGCGGTGGCATTTTGGTAAATACTATGCTGAACACGAAAATGTGCATTGGACGAGCCTCATTGTGCATCATATTGGGGTAAATGTGGTGTTCTCACGTTCTCACGTTAAGCGTTGTTCTCATTTGATCCTAAATCATATATATATATATATATATATATATATATATATATATATATATAGAGAGAGAGAGAGAGAGAGAGAGAGAGAAGATCATGTGAGAAGTCCCACTTAGGCTGAGAAGCTGCGAAGTCTAACTTATAAGCTTAAAACACGAACTTTTAACCAATAAATCATAACTTATAGACCCCCTCCAAAAAAATTACGAAAATGTCACCGCGTCAAAATAACTCCAGAAACTTGGAAAAATTGTTTGCAGAAAGTTCGTGTTTTTGAGGGAGTCTATAAGTTATGATTTTTTAATAAAAAGTTCGTGTTTTTGGCTTATAAGTTAGACTTTGCAGCTTCTCAGCCTAAGGGCACTTCTATATATATGGAAAAGATCAGCCCTTGGATTTGCATCTAATCGTACAACGCAGTAAACTTATAGACTGAATATAGGAACTTATAACCAATAAATCATAACTTATAAAGCTCTCCATCATAATTACGAAAATGCCACCACGTCCAAATAATTTCAAGGTTTCCAGGCTTATTTTTTTGCGGTGGCATTTTCGTAATTATTTTCGACGGGGTCTATAAGTTATGATTTATTGGTTAAAAGTTCGTGTTTTTAGTCTATTAGTTAAACTTCGCAGTTCTCAGCCTATGAGCACTTCTCACCTGATCCGCTCCCTATATATATATATATATATATATATATATATATATATTCCCGGATGGTAAACCACTTAAGAGTGGGGTAAATGACGGGGAACACTTACCAAATTTATTAATAAAATTGAAAGCAAATTGCATAGACAAAAAGTTATTGGTAAAAATTAAAGCTAAGGAAAATAAGCTATAAGAAGATTAAACTAAGAAAATCAAGCTAGGCTAAAGATTAAGCTTTCAAGCGCGATTATGCTCTAGTTTGCATGGAGGATGCGTGAATAGCATGTTTTTTCTTATTACACCGAGAAATAACTGGAGTGAAAGAAACATCTTCAGTGACCTCAATTAAATCATTTTGATCAGCCAAAATTGGAGAAGTCGCCGTAGAAATAGATGAAGAAACCGTGAACTCCTGAACCGAAGACTCAGATTTCATCTTTTTGTCTAAAATCATCTTATTCGTCTTGAATTGAGTGATAAGATCTTGGAGAGAAGGTTAAGTAATAATAGTTGGCCTAGAGTTCTTACCAATTGCGTTTCTCTTGGAAAGATAAACATTTTCTACTTCTTTAACATTCTTCTTTGAGCAAGTATTTAGTTCCCTCGATTCATCAGAAGAAGAATTCATATTAGGAAACATAGAGATTGTCGAAGGAGAAAACCCCTCAATATCAGCTTGAAAAATCATTGTTTTTATCAACCCTATCAAGACCCACCAACAACTCCAGTACAAATTCTATGTGATGACACAATAACAATGGCTCAGCAAACCGCGTCAACAAATTAATGGCTCTGAATAGTCCAGCCAAGAAGTCCCTAAAGCCTAATCCATATCTTCTTTCAGGAACAAAAATAGAGCCAATTCCTTTGTTAATGATCCGGATTAAACCACCATAATAATTTGAATCGAAGATGATAATAAAGTTACCCAACTCAAATCTTGAATTCACCCAATGATCCAAAGAAATTTTGAGAATGGAATCTCTCAACCATAGTAAATTGTCCCGATTAACCATAGTATATCTATTTCTAATTACTCAATTCATTGCCTTTATTTGCATCAATCTTTCCATCAATCTTTAGAATATTTGATCTTTAAACATTCATCCTTAATTGAAATTTGCTCCTAGTTGTAATTTTGCAAATTGGCCTAGTTTAGAACACAATCCCCCTTTTGTATTGAAAAAGCTCCCAACGATTAGCGATAGCCCGTGACTAAGATTAAATTAAGAAAAGACCTTCACCATTCCTCAGAGACACGATACTCAGGGAAAGACCGAAAGCTTAGAATCTGTTTTATTACAACGCCGCGAAAAACTATTATCAGGTAGTGAAGGATATGTTACAGCAGTATGAGAGTCACTTGGGACATGTTATAAATTTTAGAAAATCAAATGTTTCATTTAGTGCTAAATGCTAATGTGATTGAATGTGTTCGAGATGAGTTAAGTGAATGTCTGAAGTTAAGCAAGAGGCGACGATGGGTAATTATCTTGGGTTACCGACACTTGTTGGTAGAAAGAAAAAAGAAATTCTAAATTACCTCAAAGA